CAGTGAAACAACGTCCTCCACAACTAGACTGAAGAACAAAATGACAGCAACTTGTCTGTTCCCCTTCCCCCAATTCCCCAGCACCATTCCCATCCCCCCAGTTCCCCAATTAAAAAAAAAATCTTTAAAAAAAAAATGACTGTGTCTCTTTACCTGTCCATCACCCACATGTAAAAGTATGTATTTTCTCTCACTTTCAACAACCTTGAAGATTCTTTTTAAAATAAAATTTTGCTGACCTGGCAAATGGAGAACAGCTTTAAGTTCCATGTCTTTTGTTACTGGTGAAATTGAGCACACGCTTACATTGCTTCTTTGGTAATTTTCCTGTTCGTATCCTTTCCCCATTTTTCTATTATGCTGTTTTTTATTTTCTTGCTGATTTATAAAAGCTCTTTACATATTAAGGACATTAATATTTTGACATTTTTGTCATATTTTTTTCCTTAGTTTAAGTCGCTTTCATTTCTTACCCAGTTGATTGCAACAGCCTCTCCCTGCTTCCATTCCTGTCCCCTTCGTTGTCTTTTTAAAACACAAATCTGAGCAAGTCTTTTCCCTGCTGAAAATCCTTCAGTGAGTACACCTCACACTTAGAATGATATTCAAATCCTTCACTGCTGCCTACCTCCCAGCCTCATCCTTACCGCCTCTTTCTCACTCACTGCTCTTCAACCAGATCTTTCTTTCAACTCTTCAAATATATTAATATGGTTCTGCCTCAGGGCCTTTGCACCAGCTGTTTTCCCAGTCAGGTACTCTTGATTCTTTGCATGGTTGGTTCCTGCTCGTCCTTCAGGTCTCAGCTCAGGTGTCACCTCTTTGGAGAGACTGCCTTGACCATCCACTGGTCACTGCACTCCATCTCCCTATGTTGATTTCTTCAATCTACCTCACACTTCCTAGTGTAGCTTGCCCTCTGGAATGTCAGCTCCAGGGTACAAGGACTTTGCTTTGTTCTTTGCTGTATCCTCAGTACTTAGAAAAATGCCTGGTACAGAGTTAGGGCTCCATAGCTCAGCAGAGAACAGGCTGGTGGTTACCAGAGGCAGGGGGTGGAGGAAATGGGTGAAGTCACAAGGTACCAACCAACCTCCAGTTACAAGAGAAGTAAGCTCTGGGGATGGAATGTACAGCATGGTGACTATAGTTCATAATACTGTATTGTATATTTGAAAGTTGCTAAGACAGTAGATCTTAAAAGTTATCACCAAAAAAAGGAAAAAAAATGTAACTGTGTGAAGTGGTGAAAGTTAACTAAATTAATTGTGATGATAATTTTGTAATATAGACATATATCGAATCATTGTGTTGTATACCTTAAGCCAATGCAATCTCATATGTCAATTATATCTCAATAAAACTGGAAAAAATAGCTCCACAAGTGTTGAATAAATAAAGGAAAAGACAACCCTTCCCACTGCCTTCATTCCTCCATCATGTTTTGAGCTTGAATTGTCCCCTCCTCGGTCCCCATGGACATGAAGTGTAAGTTCCCACTGGGAGAGCACCCCAGTTTCAGTTAACATTTTAACCCTTCTTTCTTTCCCCCCTTCCTTCTTTCCCCCTCCCTCCTTCTCCCCTTTCTTCCCTCCCCATGTCTTATTGAAAGCCTACTAGATGCCAGGCACCCTTTTTATGTCCTGGGGCTCCAGCGTGGTCCCTGCCTCTATGAGCTCACTCCTTCCTTTGAGGCCAGCACCTCTGTTAGAAGCAAATACACCTGGCATCGGCTGACACTTTAGCAAAGGTTAGTGGGAAACCTGACTAATCTTGGGGTGGGGATGATAGGCACAGGAGTCTGGGAGGGAAGTGGCAATGTCACAGTTTTTAAAATTGCCTTGGAGAAACCCCACTGATCCACTCCATCCACTGCTAGCTGATCACTCTGAGCCTCAGTTGAGCTCATCACCCATCCCCTTCCTATTTCCTCACTGTTTCACTCCCCCCCAAGCCTAAAATCTGGGTTTAGGGACCCCGAACTGCTCTCAGATGGTAAATGAGGCCTCTGAACTAGACTTGGCTCTCAGAGTCTCATGCTCTACCTCATGCTAAGCCTGCCCCCATCCCCAGCTAGACACATGTTCATGGGGCCCCCAACCAGCAGCTCAGGTGCATGCCAGTACCGGCATCCTGACATAGAGAAAGTGGGGGCTGGTTTCTCAAGGGGATGTGGTTCCTCTTGGGGAACATCAACCTCCCCAAACCCCCAGCCCGACTCATTCGGTCTCACAGGGGACAGAACACAGTTTTCAGAGTCAAAGGACATAGGTTCAAATTTGACCCAATACCGAGCAAGTCATGCCACCTCCCAGTGCCTCAGTTTAGTCACCTGTGAAATGAAATGCCAAATCCTCCCCACCTCAGCAGCCTAAATGGGACAATGATGCATCATTGCTGAGCTTGGGACTGGATAAAGCAGGATGCCAGCTAATGGGAGTTCCTGTCCTTTCTTGTGCTTGAAGCTTTGGGCCAAGAACAGGGCCCAAGGCTCAGAGTGGAGTGATATCCAGTTTAACCTGCTGCTTCAGTGCAGAGACTGAGGCCCAGGGAGGGAGTGACTTTCTCAGCATGAGCTAGTGACAGCTCCAGTGCCTAAGTCTTGGCATGGCCACTCCTGAATCCAGCCCCCGAACTCTGCTTTCATATGCAAACTTGTAAGCAAGGACATTTCCAGAGAGAGAGATCCCACAGACCCATCTGTCTGGAACGCCCTTGGAAGGCTGCAGTGTTCATTTAAAAAGCCCAGACAAGGAGCAATGAACTGTGGCAGGACAATATTTTCCCTTTTCTCCATGCTGCTGGGAAGCTCTTTCTTGCCACTTAAATCACAGCTATTTTTACCCTATTAGCGTATGTACTTATTTCTTTCCTAAGAACTCCTTCCTTTCCTCCTCCTTCTGTCTCTCTCTCCTTCCCCCCACCTTCTCTTTCTCTGTCTCTCTCATTTCAACAACTGTCCTCTCAAATTCTTCTCTGAAGAACTGGGTGTTGAACTAGCTCCTACCAGGCACTGTGCCAATGTCCCCTAAATCCTCACAATGCCCTCAAAGAAAGGATCATTAACTATCTCCCCATTTCCTAGGTGGGGAAACAGGCTCAGAGGGAAGAAGTGGCTTGCCCTGAATCACATAGCTGATGACTGGAGAAGCTGGGCCTGTCCTCCAGGGACTGGACCCTGTTTGGGGGGCTCTCCTAAGCCCCTTGTTCTTAAAGCCTCCCACCCCATGTGGGGCCCACTCAGCCCGCTCTGTCTACCCTACCTTGAGTGTGTCCCCCTTGTTGAAGGCCAGCTCATCGCTTTCTGTGGCCTGGAAGCTGTACAGGGCCACAGACTCCATCCCGCTGTGCCTGAGCCCTAGCAGCTGGGCTCAGAGCAGGGCTGGCAGCTTCCTGCTTCCTCTGCAGTTGAGGACTGTCTTCCTTTGTTTTGAGAGCTTGTTTGTTCTTTTGAAGCTGAGACTGAAACTGCCCCTGACAGGGGAAACAGGAAGCAAAGATATGTCACAGAGCAGGGAGCGTGTGGGAGCTGGCCTGACCCCACCTCAGACCCCAGAGGCCAGATTGGCCCTTGGGGAGTCTCCAGGCAGCCCTGGGAGTGGGTCTCTCCTCTTGTACCCATGTTACAGATGATAAAACTGAGGTCTCCAGAGGAGAATGATGCAAAGGCATCCTGCCAGCTCAAGCATTGTATCTTGTGGTCCCAGCCACCCCCACCGCTTTGCCAATCTGTCCACCACATTTTCTAAACTTTGATACTTCCCATGACTCCCAATGCCCACAACATCAACCCCAAGCTCTTTTCCTGGCATTCAAAACCCTTCCAAGCCACTGCCCCCACGATTTACCACACACCTCTCCAGACTCACCCTTGGTTATTCCCCTTCTCTCTAAATAAACCTTAGGCTCAGCCCCAGCTGGGGACACATCACACTTTCATTTTTTTTCCCAGGCTTTTTCCCACACATGTCCCTCTGCCTGGTGTTCTCTCCCTCTTTCCCTTCCCAGAGGAAAACGCCTATTTATCCATCAATGCCCAGCTCCGAAAGTACTCCTTCTGGTTTAAACACAGGGCATCAGCAGTGGGATTGAAGATCCTGCAGTCAAAAAGAACTGCAAATAAATCGTGACGTTTCCTTAGAAGGTTTGTTATGGACAGTGGTATTGGTATAGCATTCTGACACGATTGTGTGAGAATTGTGGCAAAGAGCAGAAATGGATGAATACAGAGGTGCTGTTCTCTCCAGGAAGGAAAGGAGACACAAGCCTGGAAGTGGAAAGTGAGGAAGAAGCCTGTGGTGTTAGATGGGAAGGGAATTAGGTGGATCAGTGTGAAGTAAGGTTAATCTTCTCTGTAAAAAAGGATTTTTCCTCTTTCATTTATATCAGTATGGTTATGTCATACTCTCATATATTAGTCAATGGATAGTAATCCATTACTATCCTTATTTATTTTTGATCCTACGTTGTCCCAGATTTGGCCAGTGGGACCCCCATCAAGCTGCCTCCTTGTTCTTTTGACAAGTCCCCACTGTTCCTGAGCACTTCCTAACTTTCTGACAATATGTTTCAGGATCATCCAGGGCTTTTTTTGCCCAGCCCTAAAATCATCCATCTCTCCAAGGAGATGAAAGATGGTATTTTTAGAAGAGAATGGTGTTTAGAAATGAAGATTGAGCTGGTATTAAGTGTGCTTATTACTATGGTGGTGCCATTGCATCTAGACCCTCTCTGCAGACAGAGCTAGAGAAAAAAAAATATATATATATATATATACTATTTATATAAACATACTCATTTTTTCATATAAGCTCATTATATATGTACTATATATAAATTCACATACATATAAACTCATATATATATATATATATATAAAATACATGTATATGTATGTATATAACAAGTTTTTAGAAATACATTTCCTAGTGGACAGTGTGTCCATATTTCTACATTTATTTCTGTGTGTATGTATATAGTTATGGCTAATAGACTGAAAACCATGAACTCAATCAGATATGAAATAGTGAACATAGGTGAGGGGTATATGGGTGTTATTGTACCATTCCTACAGTTTTGGAAGATCCGAAATTTTTCTATATAAAAAGTTGAGAAAAGGGGCCGGCCGAGTGGCTCAGCTGGTTAAGAGTTGGCTTAAGAGGCGGGCTCTGAGCAACAGGGCCGCCAGTTCGATTCCCACATGGGCCAGTGATGTTGCACCTGAGCTGAGCTGTCGCTCAGCTGCCAACAGGTGGCAGGATGGCTCAGCTTGTGTAACAACAAGATTGCCTGTTCGATGGTGGGCTATGCCCACCCACAACTAAGACGGAACTCGGCACCGTGAGCTGAGCTGCCGCCCGGATAGCTCAGTGGATAGAGCGTGAGCTCTTAACAACAAGGCTGCTGGTTTGACTCCCACATGGGATGGTGGCTATGCCCACCCGCAACTAATATTGAACACAGCACCTTGAGCTTAGAGGCCACAAGTTGCCGATGGGAAGCCAAATGGCAACTGGCGCCCTCCACAACAGAGACTGAAGAACAACAACTTGGCTGGTCCCCTTCCCCAGTTCCTCAACACTGTTCCCCTCCCCCAATTCCCCAATAAAAATAAAAAATCTTAAAAAAAGAAAAAAAGTTGAGAAGATATATCTGAATCTCCAGTTATCTCAATATAAAAGGTTTAGTTTGTTGTTGTTGTTTTAAGTTGAAAGGAAAAAAGAGGAAGATGGCAGAAACTCGTCACTGGCCCTGGAGCCTCAGACAGCCAGGCAGGTGGAGCTGCCCAGGCCTCCACCGAGCTCCACCCCAGAGCCCCTACATGGTCCCTCCTCCCAGCTCCTTCCTGTCTTCTGCCTGCCCCAGACCCCAGGGTGACAGGATGTAATATGGCTTCTCTTTCTGGCTCCGTTTCAGCTGAGGTTTCAAAGCCTCAGAATGGTGCAATCGGGAGGTTGGGACACACTCCACCCCAAATCTGAGGCACCTGGAGGTAAGAGAGCGGGGGCTCCCTTTATGAAGCTGAGCATGTGTCCTCTGGGGCTTGTGGCAGGTGGGTGTTTTATTCTATGTTTTTTGTTTTAATTTTATTCTGTGTTTTTCAAAGTACTTATTCTGTGCCAAGTCATGCACAAAAAGGTGAGTAGCTCTCCCAGGGGCCTATAGCTGGCGAGTGGCAGGGCTGGGGTTCGAAACCAGGCAGATCTGAGCCCAGGACCAAGACATAGCCCCTGTGTCACACAACCTTAGCCTGCAACCTGTGCTGCCTATCACATAGTGAGTCAAGACAGCCATGTGGGGGTGAGCAGCAAATCTTCATTGGCAGGCAAATGAGCCCAATTCCGAGACCCAACACAAATAAGACTTGATGAGAGGACCCTTAAGGAGTTCAGGGACCCACACAGGGACCTAGAAGGAGGGGGTATCAGAGTTGGCATCTGGGAGAGCATCAAGTCCCATCACAGACTTGCAGCTGGGGTCAACATGAGAGGTCCCTCAAAAGCTGCCACAGGAGGAAAAAACCAGCATTGGTCACTGGCCACAGCGAACCAGCCATGTAAGACTATCTTAGTCCTTAGAACCTAACCCCTTTTGGCAGGCTGATTAATGGCTTAAAGACATCCAAGTCATAATCCCTGGAACCTGTGAACATTCCATTAGGTGATGTGCGGGTTCAGAAGAAGCCACCCCAAGATGTGCCTCAGTGGTATGCAGATTATTTTGAGCTAAAGGCAATTTTAGCTTCCGGTTCAAGAGAAACTTCTGCCCTTACCTTTAACTACCTAGAAGAACTTGAATTAGGGGTCTTGCCCGTAATAAGAGATTATCATGGAATAATATCTCTTTGACCCACCTATATGATAGGGAAAACTTTTATTTACTAAACACCTGCTCTTATTATCATCCTGCAATGACCCTTTGAAGCCCCCAAGGTGCACTGCCTCATCCCTGGCTCAGATGGTCTTATAAGCCTAGATCTCCCTCCCTGTCTCTGAGCCTCTCCTTTCTCTGATTCTCTCATGTATGCAGGGTTCCCATGCATATGTATGTATTAAATTTGTTTTTTCTCTTGATAATCTGTTCTAGACCAGCCTAAAGAAATACGAGCATAGAGGAAAGTTTGTTCCCCCACCTACAATGACAAGTCAGGATCTTGAGATGGGGAGATGATCCTGGATTTCCCAGGTGGGCCCTAAATGTCATCTCAAGTGTCCTCAGGAGAGGAAGACTAGACCCAGAAGAAGCAGGTGACATGACTGAAGCACAAGGCTGCATTGCTGGGTTTGAAGATGAAGGAAGGGGCCATGAGCCAAGAGAGGCAAGGAACACAGTTTTTGAAGCTGAGAGAGGCAGGATGGGCCTTCCCTGGAGGCTCCCAGAGGGCCAGCCCTGCAACGCCTCGACTTTAGCCCAGTGAGAGTGGTTGTGGACTTCAGAACTTCAAAACTATAAATAGGGCCGGCCAAGTGGCGCGATGGTTAAGAACTGGCTTGGGATGCCAGAGGGATGCCAGAGGGCCCCGGTTCGGATCCCACATATGAGGGCCAGTGACACTGCCCTCCACAGCTAAGATGCTGAACAACAGCTCAACCTGGAGCTGGGCTGCTGTGAGTCGCCGGCGAGGGCGTAGGCTGCAGCCCCTGTGGCGGTGGGTTGCCATGGGCTACCGTGTGTAGCCAGCGGCCAGCAGCCGCTGTGAGCGGCCGTCCAGAAGCCGGCAACTGATCTGCCTTGCCCGGAAGAGCGCAATGATGGTGACAACTTGGGCCAGTGAAGCAATGTCCTCCACAACTAGACTGAAGAACAAAACGACAGCAACTTGTCTGTTCCCCTTCCCCCAATTCCCCAGCACTGTTCCCATCCCCCCAATTCCCCAATTAAAAAAAAAACTATAAATAATCATTTTTGTTGTTAAAACCACTTACACTTGTGGTGAGTTGTTACAGCAACCACAGGAAACAAATATACCCCCTCTCCCTTGGGCTGACCCAAGGGGACGACTGTCAGAAATGGCAACTTGAGTTTAGGAGATAGGGACAGAGAAGAAATTGACCATGACTTTTCATTCCAGGCCCAGAGCTGAGATGGAGGGGTGGGTGTCGGGGACTCTAATTTCAATGAAGTTTGGAGTTCTGTAATTATTAGATGAAACTAGACCTTTGAACATTCCAAAGAGGCTGGTGGGGGTATTTTTATCACCCAGATTGACTGAAAATCTTAGGGAACTCCCTAAGTTTTCATTCTGGGGCAGGGAAGTTTTTATTTATTTATTTATTTATTTATTTATTTATTTATTTAGCTGAGCCATCCTGCTACCTATTGGCAGCTTAGCGGCAGCTCAGCTCGGGCCGGGCATCAAACCGCTGTTGCTCAGAGCTCAAACTCTTGAGCAAGCTCTTAACCAACTGAGCCACTCGGCTAGCCCTGGGGCAGGAAAGTTTAATAAGAAAGTGGAGAGAGAATCTAAATTAGAACAAAATAAATGAACAAA